AGTTTCTGCAGTTTTGTGGTCTTCAATAAATCAGCATCGTTGCTGTTGTTGTGGAGGGTACCGTGTTACATTAAAACTTTAATCTCTCTTGCAATTTAGCAGGCGTCCAGGCAGTATTTGCTGGATGGAGAAGCAAAATAGGGCTACTGATTAGCCTGGGGGTTCTGGAGCACCCTACCTGGACACATCTGCTACGTACCTTGTATAACTTTGCTGGAAGGGAATATTAAACTTCCAGCGGCAAGATAAAGCTTCCCAACTGAAATGACTCGATGGTTTGGGCGTCACTGACCCCTGCCCTTTGGGGAGGGCATGTTTGCTGTAATCAAAGGCACTTGTTTTTGGGCTATCATTTGAGCAGCTGCAGAACAATGTCCCCATCGCCTGTATTCCGAGTGCGGGAGGCCAGCCGCGCTCTTTCCTGGAGTGAAGAGGTCTGTGAGTTGTCGCCTATCTTGGCTGTCGGAGCCTGTGGGACCAGGGCGGAGGGACGCCCTCTTCTCCAGGGCGTTCAGCGTTCAAGGGGCCCGTCACTGAGGAGGCAGAGCTTCTGGATTTGTTGAGATATCTGTTGTAAGACACAAGTCCTAATTTGTTTGCACACTTTTCATGAGCATGGTGGGTGTTGGTTCACAGAGAGAACCGAGGCGTCCAAGATAGAGGTTGGTGGAAAATTCATGACACAAGGATTAAGCCCCGGGTAATTTTTCTACTGGTTCCCCTAGGCTGCGGCTTTTCAGGATGGTCTGGGACTAGCTTTACTGTGCAAACTTGTCAGCCATGCAAATTCTCGGGCCCACCCCAGGCTTGCTGAATCGCAGGTGTCTGGGTCACGGCTCCGCGCTGGGCTCTAACGAGCCCTTCTGTTATTCTGCAGCTCATTCATATTTGAGGGCCCGCTCTCGAGACCAGACTAGAACATCACTCGGGCCTCACTTGCCAGTGGGGACTGCGGGGGGTGGGGGGAGGCACTGCTCTTCCTCTGCTTGGAAATCCTGTGATCCCCCCCGGGGCAGGTGCTTTGAAAGAGGGGCTCCTGTTCTCCGAGGCCCAGCACAGCTGGCCCTCGCTGCTCCCTGCGCTCATAATAGGATCAAACATCAGCAGAATTGGAGAAGAGCTGCACACTCTGCCCCTGGAGGAAACAGCCTGCACACCAAAAGAATCGCAAGACTTTGATAACTTCAGTCATCAGAAACCTGGACGGTGTGGGTAGGGACGGATTCCAAGGGTGCATTAAGGGCAGAGCCTGACGCGGTTTGGCCGACTTCCCTGGCAGGCGTGTGCAGTCCACGGTTAATTTGTGCTGGGGCAGTCGGAGGTGTAGCTAACAGCTTAATGGGTTGGCTGACCGAGTGCTGTGCTCCACAGCTGCCCGCACTTAGCAGGGGTGAAGTGCCCGGGCTCCCCTCGCGGGTGTGAAGGAGAGAGCCCCGTCTCCGGAGGTTGGGAATGTGCACTGGACTTCTCTCAGGAGGCCTGCGTGCGGCCGTCCCGCCCACGGGGGCACCGAGGCTGTGGGAAACGCGCCCGTGAGGGGGCGTCTTCACCCTGGCGCGGCTCTGCAGCTGCTCTGTGAAGGCCGGGTCTGTGGGGGTGGGTCTTTGATGTTGGTGGAGATCATGGAATGCCAGGATAATAGAGGTCAAGGGCTGGCACCTGCCCGTGGACACCTCAGCCACTGCAGGGAATCTGGGATCTGCTTCATCTGACGAGTGACAGTCAGTCCAGCGGTGAGCAGTGTTTGCACAGTGTCTCTCTACACATTCTTACCTTTACCCCACCCACGCCTTTGTTTTTAAAGTGACTTCCTGTAGATAGAATATCCTTGATCTTGCTTATTTATCCACCTGACAGTCTTCATCTCTAAAACCTTTAACTTATTGGAGATGGAGAGAGAGGCTGTCCCCCTGCTGGTTCACTCCCCAGATGCCTGAGCAGTCAGGGCCCGGAGCAGCATCTGGCTCTCCACCGGCGTGGCTGTGACCCAGGCCCCCGAGCCATGGCCTGCTGACTGCCAGGGTGTGCGTTAGTAGGGAACTAGAATTGCAGGAAAGCCACCGCTTGAACCCGACACTGCAGTGCGGGTGCCGGCATTTAACCACTGTGCCAGTGCCTCCCCCTCCAACTGGTGTGTTTGGCCATTCACATTTAATGAGTTATTATCTTTGAATCAAAACCCAGCATCTTGCTGTTTTCTGTTTAATATGTTTTTCGACGTTTTCTGATCCCTCTTATATTGAGCCTTTTTATGATTTCACCTCCACAAGTTATTTATGCCGTTCAAATGGTGCGCTAGTGTCTGCCTATTGCTTACGACATCCGTCTTCAGCTAATCGGAGTCTACACTGCATCACACGTGCTGTGAGGGCCTCAGAACAGCGCGTCACCAGTCTTTCTCCCATAGCTGTGCTGTGCCGTGGCGTGCTTGCCTTACATGAGCTGCACATGTGTGCTACCTCGCTGCTATTTTGCTTTAGGTGCTCAGTCATGTTTCAGAGAAATTAAGATAAGGAAGATCAATTATTTTACCTTCACGTCCTTCATTTCCAGGGCTTTTCTAGTGCTGTGGGTCAAAGGGACTGTGAGTTTTGAGACCAGCATGATTTGTGGGTCTCCAGTTTCTACATCGAGAATCAGAGACGATGGGTGCTTGGCCTCAAAGAAGGCTGCGTTCTCCGAAGTTCTTCTCATCAAAGGACGATGGGAAAATAAGCGCGTCCTCAGGGCAGAGTAAAGATTCTGGAGGGAAGATGCTGAGAGCTAGCGACAGGGAGTAGGGTCAAGGCCCAGTCAGCCCCTACCCCACCCACCTCGGGAGCCTCTCATCGCCTGCCCACGAGCCCGTCAGAGCCGTGTGGGCGAGGGGCTGCTCTGTCCAGCCCCGTCAGCCCCTTCACCGCCTTGCACACGTGCGTGTTGTTGGGGTCCTGTCTCCTCCTTCAGCCTCTGTGTGGAGGTGAGAAAGAGGAAGACAACTTTCCTCTGTTGTTCATGGGTGTGGAAACAGTAATGGGGCCTTGGACTGCGAGTGTGGCCTGCGACTGGATGCTCCCTGTCCAGGGAGGAGTAGGACTTTTATGTAGAATGGAGGGAAGCAGAAGGGAGGGTACTTCAGACATTTCATGGAAAAATAGAATTAAAAAATAAGTTCATTTGCGTATAAAGCACTTTTTGAAGTCCATGCACATTTGGTGCTTGGTGTGCCTTTCCCATGAGTGTTCGAGACCCCTGTATTTAGACTGAAAGGACAGGCGGCTGCAGTCATGGCTTTCGAGGGAGACAGGCACCGCGAAGCCCAGGGATTGGACGACACTGTGCGTTCTTCTCACCGTTGGAAGTGAGACCCATCCGGCTAACCTGGGGGACTCCTCTGAGCTGAGCCAGGACGGCAAGGACTGGGTGGCCCAGGATGGAATCACTCACGTGTCTGGTGGCCGGGCTGGTGTTGCCCAGTGGGGGAAGACTCGGCAGCGTGTCTCCCCGCCCGGCAGGCAGCCGTGCGCGTCCACCGGGTGTCGCTGCTGGGTCTGCAGGAATGACAAAGCAGCAGCCCCCACGTGGAGGCGCCTGCATCACGTGGTGCTCACTTTTGTCGAGCGAAGGGTGTCACACGGCCAAATCCAGATTCGGGGGAGGGGAGGAGAAATACAGTCCACTCTGTGCAGATGGAATGTAGTTGCAAAGGGGTTGGGAAGAATTTCTGGTAATTTTTTTAAATATTTTTGACTTCTCTCAAATATTAGCATCTCTTTTTGCATTAATAGAATTGCACATCACTGCCCTTTGACCTGGGACTTGAAGAGCCAGCCTACAGGGGGATAAGCCGCCCCACCGATTAGCATCTGGTCGATGGCGTATTAACAGTTCCAGTGGTTGCCAGGCTTCTGTAGCAGCTCTAAGAGCCCCCCCCCCCTTTTTATTTTGACAGGCAGAGTGGACAGTGAGAGAGAGAGACAGAGAGAAAGGTCTTCCTTTGCCATTGGTTCACCCTCCAATGGCCGGCGCACCGCGCTGATCTGAAGCCAGAAGCCAGGTGCTTCTCCTGGTCTCCCATGGGGTGCAGGGCCCAAGCACTTAGGCCATCCTCCACTGCCCTCCAGGGCCACAGCAGAGAGCTGGCCTGGAAGAGGGGCAATCGGGACAGAATCCGGTGCCCCAACCGGGACTAGAACCCGGTGTGCCGGCACCGCAAGGCGGAGGATTAGCCAAGTGAGCCTTGACGCCGGCCTCTAACAGCCCTTGTGAGAGTCCACCTTTCCCCTCTGCCCCTCAGTCCAGGCAGAGCGTGTGGCGCGTCCCGAGTTCAGGGTCTGCCTTAGGCGCGGGCCTCATGACCCGCAGGCAGTCACGGCCAATCTGCAGCGCGAGTGAAGCATCGCCCTGAATCTAAGCTGCTGGGTGTCACTGGGTCGTTCTGTGCACATCAGAGCCTGGAGGAACGTTGTAGCGGCTCGCTAGCTTCTCTTCTGTGTATTTATTCCACTCCTTTTTTATTTAAGTCCTTTGTGAGCCGCACTGTCCCCTGCATGTCTACGAAGCCACCTTTCTTGTAGACGCCCGCGGATGTGGGCAAAGGACTGACTCCGTGTGTCCTGCGTGGCCTGGGGGTGGAGGCTACGTGTGCCTGTCTTTCCCCTCTGCTCGTCATCTTGACTGGTCAGTGGAAGGTGCCGGTTCCGGCTGAAAGGCCACTCCAGTCCTTTTAAACAGATCTTCCCTGTTGACTAAATTATTTAATGCACTTGTATATTTTCAAATGCTCTTTTTCCTATTTTCTCAAGTAAATTCCCCAAGAGAGCTGTCCATGACACGCTTCCTCGCCTCCCGTGCACCCCCAACACCTGGCTAGCTCCCTGCGTCCACAGCTCTTCCCAAGGTCACCAGCAGCTCCACACGGTCGGCTCCGCTGAGTGGACGGTATCCATCTGAGAAACTGTGAGCCTCGCAGAGCCCAGCGCCTCTGAGCCCGTCTGTTTTCTCCCCGTGTGCTGTTGTAGGTCTTCTGTGATTTCCACGGCCACTCCCAGAAGAAGAACGTGTTCCTTTACGGGTGTAGCATCAAGGAGACCCTGTGGCAGGCAGCGTGCACCGTGGGCACAGCTCATCTCTCGGAGGACGTCAGCTACAGAGTAAGTCACGGAGGACCGCCGCAGGGGCTTTGCCACTGCACGAATGCAGTGGAGCCCTGTGCGCACCCACTGTCTTCCTAACGCAGGCTCATACGGGCAGGCTGGGCGCTCACCTCCTCACCCTGTGGCTGAGTCAGGGCTTCTCCTCTGAGCTTAGCTTCTCTGTTCTCCAGGATGTGAAAAGGACGTGAGAGTCACAGGAGGAAACCCCGATTTTTATTTTAATTAGTGTTTAACAGACTCAGTGTGATCTGTAGACAATTCTAATAACATAATGATGTTTCCTCCCTCCCTCCCTCCCTCCCTCCCACCACCTTCTTTACGCCTCCCTTTCTGTTTGTTTTTTTGTTTGTTTTGTTTTTGAGATAATATATTTTAAAGTTCCATTACAGTATAAGGGCTTTATACAGAATAATAAGTTTAACAAGTAAAAAGCAAAAACATCCTACTTCAGTAGGAATATAGACAATGGCTATTGTGGGGAGCAACTGAGACTAGACTAAATTACTGGAATTAAGACTTATTCTATGCATCTGCTCTCCCACAATATGGCGCTGAGAGAGACCAAACAACCTCTACACAGCTGCCTCTCGCCAGTTTGACTGATAAGCTGCAGGAGCTGATCCTGCTCCTGATTGGAGGAGAGCAGCATACTCGGCGTGTGGGTAGCAGAGTTGGGATTGGTGGAAGAGGACTATAAAGGAGGAGAGAGACAACATGCACCAGGAACATCTAAGGGGAACATCCGGATAATATCTGAGCAGCCCCCGAGAGAGCCGGCCGGCGGTGTGCCGCTCCCCCGCGGAAGTGGGAAAGTGGCAGGGGGAACCGCCCTTCCACGGAGGTGGAGGGGTCGGCAGCCAACCCGGGAAGGGCCGAGCAGACAAAGAACAGCGCAGGGTCCTGTGTCGTTCCTCCACGAATGGGGGAGCGACATAATGGTGCCGTGACTCGGATAGGAAGCCTAGGAGGGATAGGCTATAATTGATAATTGAATGGAATGACTATTTAATCCATACACAATCAATTTTAAAGTAGTCACGTATTACTTTAAAACTGTAGTAATAGAACAGTCTCAATCATTTACTTGACAAAGATAAAAACACAAAGTTTTACAAAACTGTGTTTGCAGCAATACTGATATGCACAGACATTTCTTTATTTTTCCTTTCTTTCTTGTTTGTTTTTTAAATTTTATCTCCCACATGTAAGGGGTAATGTGGTATTTGTCTTTCTGGGACTGATTTATTTCACTCAACATGATTTCCTTTTTCTTTTTCTTTAAGATCTGTTTATTTGAAAGTTGGAGTCACACAGAGAGAGAAGGAGAGGCAGAGGCATAAGAGAGAGAGAGAGAGAGAGAGAGAGAGCTTCCATCTGCTGGTTTACTCCCCAAATGCCTGCAATGGCTGGAGCTGCACCAATCTGAAGCCAGGAGCCAGGAGCTTCTTCCCGGTCTCCCACGCGGGTACAGGGCCCAAGGACTTGGGCATCCTCCACTGCTTTCCCAGGCCACAGCAGAGAGCTGGATTGAAAGTGGGGCAGCCGGGACTTGAACTGGCGCCCACATGGGATGTTGGCACTGCAGGTGGTGGCCTTAGCCCCTACACCACAGCGCCAGCCCCTTGACATGATATCCTCCAGGTACATCCATTTTGCTGAAAATGGCAGAATTTAGTTTTTCATAGCTGAATAATATTCCATTGTGTATATTTACCCCACTTTCTTTATCCACTCAACTGATGACGGACACTTTGGCTGGCTCCAAACTTTGGCTGTTGTGAACAGTGCTGCTTAGGTTGGCGCAGGCCCCTGCATTGCAGACACAGGCGCTCGTGTCGTCTGGGTGTGTACCCGCAGTGGGATTGCCGGGTCCTAGGGCAAGTCTGTTCTAGTTTCTTCAGAAATCTCCGCACCATTTTCCACAGGGGCTGCACTAATTTCCATTCCCACCAGCCGTGTGTGTGTGTTGTTCTTTGTCTACATGCTCGCCAGCACTTGCTACTTCCTGTGTTTGGGATTTTAGCCATCTGACAGGGTTGAAGTGATCCCTGACTGTGGTTTTGATTTGCATTTCCCTGATGGCTAGTGATGTTGAGCACTTCATCATAGATGTGCTGGCCACTTGTGTTTCTTCTGAGAACTGTCTATGGAAGTCCTTCGCCTGTTTCTCAGCTGGATTGGTTTTGTTGTTGTTGAGATTTTTTTTAATTTTCTGACATACTCAGGATATCAATCCTTTGTCAGGTAGTTTGAAAATATTTTTCCCATTCTGTTGGATGTCTCGTAACTCTATCTAACATTTCCTTTGCTGTGCAAAACCTTCTTAGTTTGATATGGTCTCATTTTTTGTTGCCTAGCTTTGGGGATCTTGTCCAAGATGTCACCCTGTACATCAGTATCTTGCACTGTTTCCCTACATTCTCTTTTAGCAACTTCATAGTCTCGGGTCTTAAATTCAGGTCTTTGATCCATCTTGAGTTGGTGTTTATATGTGGTGAGAAGTGTGGATCTAATCTCATTCATACATCCCTTTTTGCCAGCCCCGTTTGTTGAAGAGATTATCCTTACTCTACTGAATGGGCTGAGTGCTTCTGTGAAAATCAGTGGCTGTATGTATGTGTATTAATTTCCGGGCTCTCTGTTTGGTTCCATTGATCTACGTCAGTTGTTAGGACAGTTCAAAGCTACTTTAATTCCTGTCGCTTTGTGCCATGCTTTCAAATCTGGTATTGTGATGCCCCCAGTTTAATGTTTCTTGCTCAGGATTTCTTTGGCTATTCTGGTCTTTTTGTGATTCTAGGATTTTAGGATTGTTTTTCCTACTCTATAAAGAATGCCATTGTCATTTTGGTAGGGACTGCATTGACTCTGCTGGTTGCTTTGGGCAGTATAGACATTTTAATGATTCATGAGCAAGGACCAGGCATAGCTATCCTGGTATCAGATAAAACAGACTTTAAATCAAAAACTGTGAGGAGAGATAAAGAAGTTCATCATATTTTGATAAAGAAGACATACGGGGCCGGTGCTGTGGTGTAGTAGATTAAGCCTTCGGCTGTGATGCCGGCATCCCGTATGGGCCCGGGTTCATATTCTTGCTGCTCCTCTTCTGATCCAGCTCTCTGCTGTGGCCTGGGAAAGCAGTAGAAGATGGCCCAAGTCCTTGGGCCCTGCACCTGTGTGGAAGACCCAGGAGAAGCTCCTGACTCCTGGCTTCAGTTCTGGTCTTTGCGGACATTTTGGGGAGTGAACCAGCAGGTGGAAGACCTTTCTCTCTGTCTCTCCCTCTCGCTGTCTGTTACTACTGCTCAAATAAATAAATAAAATCTTTTAAAAAAGACATAGCAATAATAAATATACATGTGCCCAACACAGACCACCCAGATATTTACAGACAATACTGTTATACCTAAAAGGAGAGAAAGACTCCAATATGATAGTAGTTGTTGACTTCCACACTCCACTCTCATCAATGGACAGATCATTCATGTCGCTCCCCCTCTTCATGGAGGAACGACACTAAGCCCTGCCTAGGCTTCATATCCGAGTCACGGCACCATTATGTCGCTCCCCCTCTTCGTGGAGGAACGACACAGGACCCTGCGCTGTTCTTTCGTCTGCTCGGCCCTCCCCGGGCTTGCTGCTGGCTCTTCCCGGGCTGGCTACTATCCCTTCCACCTCCGTGGAAGGGCAGTTCCCCCTAGCCACATTCCCCACTTCCGCAGGGGAGCGGCACACCGCCGGCCGGCTTTCTTGGGGGCTGCACGGGTGTTCCTTCAGCTAGATGTTCCCCTTAGATGTTCCTGGTGCATGCCGTCTCTCTCCTCCTTTATAGTCCTCCTCCGCCAATCCTAACTCGGCTGCCCACACGCCGAGTACGCTGCTCTCCTCCAATCAGGAGCAAGTCCTACAGTTTATTAGTTGAACTGGAGGCAGCTGTGCGGAAGCTGTTTACTTCTCTCCCAGCGCCATATTGTGGGAGAGCAGATGCATAGAATAAGTCTTAATTCCAGTAACTCAGTCCAGTCCGGATTGCTCCCCACAATTCAGACAAAAAATCAATAAAGATACATTGGAGTTGAAGCATACGATTGAGCAAATGGACCTAACAGAAATGCAGCATTTCCACCGACTGCAGAACACACATTCTTCTCATCAGCACATGGAACACTTTCCAGTGTAGATCACCTATTAGGCCATAAATCAAGTCTTGGAGAATTTAAAGGTTGAAATCATATCATGTATATCATCTCAGACCATAAATGAGTGAAACTAGAAATCAAGAACAGGAAGAACACTAGAACACTCCTAGACACCTGGAAATTAAACAACTTGCTACTAAATGATCAATGGGTCATTGAAAAAATTAAAAAGAAAATTAAAAATTTTCTTGAAATAAATGGCAATGAAAACACAACATATCAAAACTTGTGGAAGACAGCAAAAGCAGTATTAAGAGGGAAGCTTATAGCATTAAGTGCTTAGATTTAAAAAAAAAAAGCTCAATTTAAAGATCTAATGATGCATCTTGAAGACTTAGAAAAATAAGGACAGGGGCTGGCGCTGTGACGCAGCGGGTAAAGCTGCCACCGGTGGTGCCGGCATCCCATATGGGCTCTGGTTTGAGACTTGGCTGCTCCGCTTCTGATCCAGCTCTCTGCTGTGGCCTGGGAAAGCAGTAGAAGATGCCCAGGTCCTTGGGTCCCTGCACCTGCGTGGGAGACCCAGAAGAAGCTCCTGGCTTTGTGTGGGGAGCAACTGGGAGCAACTCGGAGTAGACTAAGTTACTGGAATTAAGACTTACTCTATGCATCTGCTCTCCCACAATATGGCGCTGGGAGAGGAGGAAACAGCTTCTACACAGCTGCCTCCAGTTCAACCAATAAACAGCAGGACCTGCTCCTGATTGGAGGAGAGCAGCATACTCGGCGTGTGGGTAGCAGAGTTGGGATTGGTGGAAGAGGACTATAAAGGAGGAGAGAGACAACATGCACCAG